ATCTAATCATGTTAATGAATCAACACCTACAAAATCACATTACTCTTTGCTAAATTATCTTTAGCATATTTTAATTACATGTATGTAGTTTTCAGCTATTTGATTCTTATAAAGCAGAGGTCATAAAGAGGTCATACAGAATAACATTATACAATGTTACACTGTACCTTGCTTGGTTTGTCGTCCTGTTCAAAGACTTTTTCTACCATCCTCAGTCCTGTCTCTTGTCTGATCTGTAGTAGGTAGTTTCTCATTGTATCTAAAAACAAAAATCCAAATCAAACAAGCACAAACATTGTTATATTCAGGTAAACATCTAGTAAATGCATTAACATTAATATGATGATACTGCTGCACTAGAAATGTTTTGCTGGAAACTAGATTACTGCATGCACTTTCATGTTTTTTACTGGGTTTATTGAATCTCAATTTGATGAGCCACTTTTATTCATATTACTTTGCTCTCTTTTTTCAATTTTGCGTCATTTTCAAAATTTTCAATCTATTTTTAACCACACTGAAAAAATAAATATTACATCATATGCACAATACTCAAATTTACTTTCATTTTTAATGTAAAATAACAAGGAAATAGTGGTGATAACAGAACTATAGAGAATGGTGGCATTTCTTAGTGAGTGCAATCCAACTCAGGTGAGATTTGTGAACCATATTATGCCTCTTGTTTAACAGCATTTTATCTGTTTGTGACATTATGGGATTTTTTTCCGTTAAAATGCCTTTTTTTTTATATTTCCTGATATGAATAATAGTACTGAAATTATAAATAAACTCTAATGATGTACCTTCTTCAGCTCTGCCATTTGGTTTTGAAAACATTGCATTAAGAGGAAACTTGGGTTCTCCCGGGATTGGGAAGTTGATTAATCCTAATGTGTACATTTCTTTGGTGGCAGCTGACTTTGTTGAACACTGAAAAAGACATTCATGACAATATATAAATTTTCCAGTCCTTTGCACTTCTTTCTTGTGCTGTATGCACCTGGGTAGTACAGTTACTTGAATGTTTTTTAAGAGGCAGTCCACCGAAAAACCAGGCAGTATTGTATTAATAGGCGGCACATCGAATCAAAGGAATATTTGATATTTTATTAAAAACAATATCAATGTAGCCCAAAAGGAATAATGTAATTGAAGATTTGTTTGATAATTGCTTATTTAGTAAAATATCCTTGTGTTTTGTGTTTTTGAATGCCCCTATATAAACCATTGAATGTAGGTCAGAAACAAAGAACTGTAATTTCTAATACATTTTTAAAGGACTATAATTCACACTTAACTAAATCTAGAAATATTTCAACTTTTTGTTTTAAAAATAAAATCGGTGGGAAAAACACTTTTGATAGTAGTTTTCTGGCAAAATATAAGGACGTTTTTATGAAATTTTGCGATGCAAGAGTTATCTCCCGTGGCATCGGTAAATCTGCTCAACACCTTTTTATCGGAATCCTAGTGAAATATTTAGAATCGATACACTAAAGAAAATAATTAAACAAAAAACTAAATAATTTATTTTCAAAATATAATTCATTTTCGCCTCCAGACGTAATATTTAGATTAAAATTGGCTCTATTATTCAGGTTGAATCCACGTTTCCATTGATGTATCAGTGACGTCATATACCTGACTAATATTGCGTCACAATGAAATAGTTACAAGTTTCCAGAGAAGTTTGTAAATTCTTTGCGTAAAAGTGTAAAGAAAAAGATTTTTAAAAAAATTATTTCTCTTTTTCTGTTTAATTACTCTTCAGAGTGCATTATTCTAAATGTTAAATAATATTTTAATATCAAAATGTATTTTATACACGGGCGGCATCTCATCTAGATGACGATTTGATAAGTAATTTTATACATGTCTGAGAACTAATTTTTTTTAACTGATTTACTAGGATATGCGTAAAAATAATTAATGAAGTGTTTATCATGAATATTTCTTATAGAATTGGGAATCAATGATGAATGTTTTAGATTTACGCAACACTTAATTCAACGAAGTTGAGATGTTTACTTCATGATATTTGTAAAAACTTAAATATATTTATCTATGCAGTCAAATCAAAATAAACAATCCGAAGTACGATTAAAAATGAAAAAAAAAACCTGAAAAATAAGTTATAAAAATATATTTATTGAGTTAAACTACTGCTGAACTCTCCACTATAATTTGGCTCTAAAACGGAAGATGGTTTAGTGAAACATTTCTTTGTTTATTTTAATTTTACTTATTTATTTTTTTAATTTGGCGATTGAAACAATCACACACTCACATTTAATATGGAGTTTAAACATGTGACTATGTTGGCCAATTCTAAAATGTTTTCACGTTCATGAAACCAATTTTTAAAAATAATGATGTCATGACACTCCCCCCCCCCCCCCCCCCCCCCTGCTTTTTGCTTGCGATTTATCGGCTCTTGAATAATGATACTAGATCTATATATGAAAGAACTTATTTTTTTATTTATATAAAATCAAATTTTGTAAAAGAGGAAAAGGCTTTACAGATGACAGGTAAGAAAAAACTTGGATAAAGTCGAGACTGTACACATAAAAATATTTCCTGTATTTAGGCAAGTTTAATTTCGCCACTGATAGAATTTACTCTTTAATTCCTGAGGAAATAAAAAAAGAAATTTTACTCTGAAATAAGATAAATAATAAAGCTAGAAAGCTGTCTGCTCTCATTTGTTGCATAATGCATGTACAAATACTTTTTTTTTTAAATAACGAGTATCTATTAAGAATTCAATCAGATGTTTTACATGTAATCTTCATGTACGTAAAAGACATTAGTAATTTAAATAATATATAAATTTGAATCTATGGTTACACTCATTTAAAAACAGTTAACTGACTGAAAAGAAATAAAAGACAAGCATATTTTTCTGATAAATTGAAATGAAGAGCGAAATTTAGGAAATGTTTCTGAATTTACAGTAAAAACCGATCCCGATCCGATCGAAAATAATGCAAAATTAACAAATTTATCAAACTAAAGGCACCTGCCACCTATATAACATGTTAAAAAAATAAATCAAGTAAGTTTTTACTCATATTACAACAAAAGAGCCAAATTTAACACTACAATTATAGTATTTTTTTCTTTATATAATTCCGGTCGGGATCGGTTTCATTTGGGAAAATTAAAAAAAAAAAAATAGGTAAATTTGACTCCTTTTATTTCTTTCAATATACCTGTTCCCACTGATTTTATTGAGTGATTCAAAAGTTTGTACTTTGTATTCATAATAACATAAGAAAAAAAATCTGTCCTTGTAATGTATTGGGTTTTATAACGTAATGAAAATTGGATACTGAATTCAAAAAGTTACTTGCTTAACTCAAATTTGGACCATATAATTTTTTCTAAAGAAGTATAAATTGGAGTCTTTTTCATTAATAAAATAAAAGATAAGAGTCTATGCTATAAATAATATTCATCGACACATCCAGCTTCTGAGTATCTGTTACATATAAAACAAATTAAAAACGTAGTAATTTTTTTTACCCTTATGTTGACCTTTTTGCACTTAAAATTAAGCATTTACCAAAAATAGGACTAGAGGAGCACTAAAATTTTTTTAATGTTGTCATGTGTAAACACTTGCTTTAATAAGTCTACATGCAAAAAATAATTAAAATCCATGACATGCGATGTGCCACCCATTGCCTGGTTTTTCGGAGGACTGCCTCTTAATTCCATCAGATACTCTGTGCCACAAGTTTTGTGTAAATTAATACAAATGAACATTCTGAAAGTTTTAAAATCTGCTGTCACCAGCTCAGTACTCAGTAAATGCAACAGTCAACATTGTTGGTAGTCACACTTTGCTAAAGAAATCTTGTGGAACTGTATGCCGTAAAATCTTCTTGCATAAATAACTCATAATTGTTGACTTTATAAAAATGAGACAATAATATGTAAATTTAAGATGAAGTTATATTAACAAACTGCAGTTCTAAATGATTTCATACCTTCTGTAGCTTCTTCAGACATTCACTGATATATAATGTAATATATATTAAAGTTCTGTCAGCTTCACTCTGAAATCAATTTCGAATATTTTACAAACTTATGGTTATCTCTTTCTAAATACATTTACATCAATGTTATAATAATTAATAACATGGCTCTCTGCTCTGTCTTTATAACTTCAGACAAAACTTATTCATAAATATTTTTAAAGAATGTATTATACATGTTATAAACACTAATCAAACAGAAAATATTTCAAAAGAATCACAGAAATGTAAACTCTTACCTTTATTTCATAATTCCTAAAGAATATATTAGCTTTGAAGTAATATATTGCCTCATCAATGATGTCAAAATCTGAAGCTAAAGAAGGAAATAAATCAAAATACAGTTTCACAGAAACTCGTTAAAAATTCTTTCAATGTCTAATGTATAGAAAAAAAACTTACAATCTTTGGGGGCGGGTCCCTTGTATGTCGTCCTCAGAGGCATTAGAGCCATGTTTCCAATCAGTTTGGGGGGATCAGTGAATTTGGAATGATACGCCTACAAATAACGTAAAAATTAAAGATTTTCGTACCATGTTTAAAGCCTGTTTTACGGTGAAAATAAGCTTTTAACGACATAGACATAACTATGCTGTTCTATATTGAAAAAAATACTTTTACCGGCATGACTGTATGAGCAACTGGTTTGATATTGTCCAAAAAGCAAGTTATTTTCCTGTCTCTATTCCACCCTTCTTCCGCATAGGGCCGCAACTATCAATAAATATAAGCAAATATTAAGCTTTAAGTTAAAACGTTTATTATATAATACGTAATTTTAATTGCTATTTCAACTTTCTAAAAATACATAATATAGTTTGAAAGAAATGAATGCATACAAATTATTATATAGTTTATTTTTAAATGTGTAAGCGATATACGCGGATTTAAAATCATTTGTGCGTTTTAAAATTCGGATACCCTGTATCTTCAATATGAGCTTGAATTTGACGTTGACTCAAGACAGCATTGGTGTTGTAAACATATTTTAAAGAAGAAAAATGCCTCGATACGGACAGCTTGTCATGGGCCCAGCAGGCAGTGGAAAGGTAATTTTTTTTTTAACATAGGAGATTTAATTCCGTGGTAAAAAGACCTCATAATCAGGTAATATGCCTTATGATACCATATCTGAAAAAAAGTTCCAAGTAAGATGAAAGGAAAAATTATTAGATATAAAACGGACATAAATTCTGCTCTGCCTCCCTATAACTATGCATGAAAATGCACATTCAGTTGTGTAGAATATGCTGTGTATTCTTTCCTGAACATTGATGATGGGTTATATGACGTATGGAAGAGCATTTCCATGATAAAGTCTAAGAAAGGCAAACATTTAAGGAAGAATGTCAGATCTATTATCCCTTTAAATTTTCATTAAGGCAAATGAGTTACTTTTTTATTTATTTTTTAAAGTTTTCTTTGGTTATCTCAAGAACATGAACAAAGAGCCATACCACAGTTATGGAAAATTTTCTAATCACGTTGCATTGTGGATCAAGAGGTTACCTCAGATATAAAATCATTTGGGTCAGTGTGCACAGTCAGAATTTTCTCTTCGCCAATGCGTTAGCTTTAAGAGCACACTGCCTTGTATGAATTTTTTTTTTTTTAAGTATTGAAATAGCTTTATCAAGCTATTTTGAATAACTTAATAAAGGCATATAGCTACATGTAATTCAAGCTAATAGTATATAGGTAAATGAAGAGATTGTGTTCTGGACATGTTACATATTAAGAACATTTAAAATATTGACATGATGAAATAGTAGGAAATAAACATTCAAAATGCTGGCATTGTGGATAGTAGCAAAGAAAATTTCTTGCATACCATGGCCAAAATATGAGAATTTTTATGAAAATACTGGCAATGCACCTTATGTTTTGAGATATGGAAGGCTACTCAGTGACAATTGTGTTGGACACTGATTGTGTCAGGCTAACTTATCACTTTCTTTCAGTCTACCTACTGCAGCAATATGGTGAAGCATGCTGAAATGCTGAGGAGAACAATTCATGTGGTGAATCTGGACCCTGCAGCTGAACACTTTGATTACCCTGTTCTTGCAGGTACAAAAATTGATATGTACAATACATAAATGTTTACTGCTGTAGTGGGAACAGTAGTTTGCTTGTACAACCTAAAACATCTGTATTTTTGAAGATTTGCAAGTATTAGTCTCAAAAGTTTGTTTCTTTGTATTGGTATACCAGTGATAATTTCATATAATTGTTATTGTCCTTAGATATCAGAGAACTCATACACCTAGATGATGCCATGGAAGATGAATCTTTGAGATTTGGTCCAAATGGAGGCCTTGTATTTTGTATGGAGTATGTTTAATTTTCTACTTAAAGTTGGAAATTTTAACATCTAGATGTTAATTTTCATTTAAAGTCTTTGTCAGACCTTTGAAACAACTTTTAAATTCATATTTTCTGTCTTTAGGTATCTTGTAAATTGAAATTCTAGGGATTTCACAAGTGGAATTGATCGGTTCTATTCAACATAAATACATGTATTTCATTGCCTTTAAAGATTTTAAACAATTGACCTCAAAGGATGTAAAATTATGTTATAAATTGTATGATTAATAATAAATTGATCTGGTCAGAGAATAGGCATCATCATGGTTTAATTGTTTTACCATGTTTACAAAGATGCTATATTTTTGTTTTGATTACGTTAAGTTAGCTTTAATTTTATACCGAATACAAAATACCATATAAGTAAAGTTTTTAGCGAGGATTTAATATTGGCATTATTAGCGAGGGTGCTGGGATCGCTAAAATTGAATATCACTAAAAATTAATTGTGTTTTATTTGTAATAGCCTCTTTAGCATTTTAAAATTGCTAAAATTACTTTTTGCTAAAAATAAATAACAATTTTTAAGGATAAATCGCTAAATTTTCGTCTCACTAAAATTTCCACTTATACGGTAATAACATTTATTATCTCTTCTAAGGTATTTATCACAGAACTTTGACTGGCTCCAAGAGCAGCTGGAAGAAGTAGAAGAGGACTATATTTTATTTGACTGCCCTGGTTAGTTTTACATATTGAGACACTGCAGTTTTCCTAGAATTTAAACAATATCAATTCCATAGAGATAAATAAATTATCTAGTTGTAAGAAATTTTGATCAAATTACAGTAAAAGTAACTTGTGAATTAATTGATTTAAAGCTCAGCTTTTTTGTTAAGAAAAAAATAATACGTTTCATGTCCAGACTAATACCAATGTTTTTAGGACTTGCTTTTAAGTCAGACATAGAGTATTGGACCAAAAATTAAATCCCAAATATCCAACATACATGCGAGTATATACAGCACAAGTGTCTAAGCAGTCAGTTTACTGAATTAATGCCAGGACTAGTGCTTCAGACATTTAACTAGTTCTTTAGACTTGCACTTCATAAATGTTAGTGTTATACTCGGCTCCATACATCTTCAGTTGTAATAATTTTTATATTTACTGAATTGTAGGTCAAATAGAGCTCTATACACATATCCCTGTGATGAGACAGTTAGTAGAAACTCTACAGAAGTGGGACTTTCGGATCTGTGGTGTGTTTTTAGTGGACTCTCAGTTTATGATCGAGCCATCCAAGTTTATTTCAGGAATTTTAACTGCCTTATCTACAATGGTGAATCTAGAGATACCGCATGTGAATGTCATGACAAAAATAGATCTTCTCAGCAAAAAAGCCAAAAAAGAATTAGAGAGGTAAATGGTAAAGCATAAATATATGAAAATAGAATTTACTATGCACTATTAAATTGATAAATATTTTGCAAGGTCTTATTTTAGCCTAAGGAAGATTCTGGCCATTAACAGTCAAGGGTATAATGCAAACAAGTTATTGTCAAAAATAACTCAAATGAGTTATTTTTTTGTCACAAGGGGTTACCTCTCTTTTCTTCTGACCTACTTTACTCAAACACATAGTTTCAATAAAATGATAACTTGTTTAAGATATTTTGTGTCATTTCTCCCTAACTTCACACCCTGTGCACCAAAGGTTTTTGCTCGTGCACCAAGGCAAAAACAAATGTTTTATTAAATTTAAACCTTGCTCAATCCAGAAATATTGTTAAAAGTCTTGGGAAAATTGAGAAAAATTGTTTATTTAATGATAAAAACTTGACCCAAACCATGTAAATAAAACCTCAAAGTAAGGAGTAAAATGCTAATTATCTCTACCTCCTCACCAACTCTCCATTGAAGTCGGTGCACTCCATCTAATATTACGTAATGGAATCCCAAAATGCAATGCATATTGGCAAGAAATACAAAACTCTCAAGAAATCATTTTCTAAACTTGTAGGATATAAAATTAACTTTTTTAAGTTATCATTGAAAAAAATTATGAGTGTGTAAAATAACTTACACATGTATGTAAGTTATTTTTCTAATAACCAGTTTGCATTATGCCCCTGACTGATTAAATTCATAATTTCCAATGCTTAAAAGATCCTCTGTTAACTGAAAATTTAGATTTTCCAAAATTATAGAATACAAATGTTCATATTCAAGCATGATTTTTCAAATTCATTTGCATTCCATTTTAATGCACAGGTATTTAGAACCAGAATTACCTGTATTACTTGCAGAAGAATTTGATGACAGCAGACTAAGTAAAAAATTTAAAAAATTGAACAGCTCCATTGCCAAAATGGTAATTATTTTTTAAATTAAAATGGTAATCACAACAGTATTCCTTTCCATTTTTAGCTCACCTCAACGAAGTTGGGGGAGCTTATATAATACCCTCGGCATCAGTGTTGGTGTTCGGTTGAGGTTTTTGGAGCAGATTTCTTTTCAAGTACTTCTATGCCCTTAATTGATCAGATATGCATGGATGATGCTTCTAGTGTGTTTCATTGTACAAGTAAAGATTTCAGATGCTGCAATTTCAGCTAAAGAATGACCAGATTAATGTTTTTAGAGCAGGTTAAAGTTTTTGGAGTAGGTCTCATTTCCAAGTAACTATAAACCCTATATTGACCAAACTTGGCATGAATGATACATCTAAGGATGCACACTACCAAGCTTGCTTGGGTCACTGGATCTGACCTGCATTCTCCAGATGAGTGACCTGGTTTAAATTTTTGAAGCAGATCTCATTTCCAAGTAACTATAAGCCCTATATTGACCATACTTGCATGGATGACATCTAAGGATGCACACCACTGGACTTGCTTCAGATGCTGGATCTGACCAACATTTTCCAGATGAGTGACCAGGTTAAAGTTTTGAAGCAGATCTCATTTCCAAGTAAATGTACCTGTAGTTCCTATGTTTTGACCAAATTTGCATGGATGATACTTCTAAGGATGCACACTAAAGGATTTGCTTTGAATGCTGAATCTGACCTACATTTTCCAGATGAGTGACCAGGTTAAAGTTTTTGGAGCAGGTCCATTACCAAGAAACTATTTGAACCAAACTTGCATGAATGATGCATCATGGGATGATGACTCTCAAACTTACTTCAGATGCTGAGTTTGACTTACATTTTCTGGATGAGTGACTAGCTTGAAGTTTTTAGATAAGTTCATTTCCAAGTAACTGCAAGCCCTATCATACCATAAGTTTTACATCTAGAGATGCATACTTCTAGATTATTAGTTTAGTGTGAGACTTTGCCTTACTTAAAGACATCATTTGTTGAGGTGAGCTTTATAATCTGATTACCTATGTTTTGTATTATGGATCTTTTTATGCCCTGCCATGAATATGGCCGGGGCATATAGTGTTTGTCATGTCCATCTTCCATCCTTCTGTCTTTCTGTCTGTCCTTCCGTCACGCTTTGTGTGTAGCTCAGTTCAAAGCCCAGTTTCAAAAAAAATATCCAAGATATTTTTATCAAACTTCATATGCTGATAGATATTGATGAGAGCTATGCAACTGCACAACATTTTTTGATCTTGACCTTTCCTTTGACCTTGACCTCACTTTTACCTAAATTAGTGTTTAGCTCAGTTTTAAAGATACCACTCAAGATAGTGTAATCAAACTTCATATGCTGATACTGATGTACGCTATTCAACCGCATCAACATTTTTTGACCATGGCCTGTCTTTTGACCTTGACTTCATTTTTCATAAATTAGTGTTTAGCTCAGTTTTAAAGAAACCATTCAAGATATTTTTATCAATCTTCATATGCTGATACATACTGATGAGAGCTATTCAACTGCATCAACATTTTTTGACTTTGACCTTTCCTTTGACCTTGACCTCACTTTTCTTAAATTAGTGTTTAGCTCAGTTTTAAGGAAACCATTCAGGATAGTGTTATCAAACTTCATATGCTGATACATACTGATGAAAGCTATTCAACCTCATCAACATCAAACTTTTTAGTTTTCAATTTTAAAGCCAAGATATTCTCATCAAACATACACTAATACAAATTTTCATATTGCATTACTAATACATGTATACCCTCGGCGGGGCATTCATGTCCTATAGACATATTTCTAGTTCAGTAAGCTTTTTATTTCACCATTAGTTAATTTATCCTGACCCAGCTCAGCCTCTTTATACAACCCTGACTTTCTTGTATATAGATAGATGACTACAGTCTGGTGAAATTCCTGCCGATGGACATCAGTGAAGAAGACACCATTAATGACATTCTGATACAAATAGACACAGCCATTCAGTATGGAGAGGATTTTGAACCAAAGGAAATACCTGTGAGTACCGTATATACTCGCCTATAAGTCGGTTTTTTGGGAGTTAAACTTTAGTGCAAAACTCTTTATCCGACTTATACGCGAGTTATAAAATGATTGGTATTTTAGCGGGTCAATCTCTCTAATTTAAGCTTAAAAAGTACAACCGACCTATAAGCGGACCGACTTATAGGCAGGTATATACAGTATATCAGCTGTCTTGTCATAAACTATAAAAATAACAATATTGATTGCTCTTAACTTCACAACCTCTTAAAAGTCTAACTTGCTGCATATAAAAGGGCATGGAGTTGCCTACTTGTGTTAGTTCTGTGAAATAAATGAAAAATTTTGGAATTTTTTAAAGTCTTCCTATTCTTTCCGAAACAAACAGAAAAAAAATTGGGAAGGACCCCAGATTACTACAGACTTAAAGTTTTTTGAACTGTGTCTTCGTATATTGTAGTACAGTTGACTACTGATATTGGGGTTAATAATCATGATATTGGACTTATAAGTAGTAGTAATACCAGATTGATGATTAGTGATAATGGACTTAGAATGTGATAAGAGTTGATGACTAGTGATATTGAAATGATAAGTAATGAAAAGATTGATTTTGATGATGCATTGTAATACCAATGACTAGTGATATTAGGGTTAATAATTAAAGATATTGTACTGATAATTAGTAATATTGAACTGTCAGATGATTAGTGTTAGACTATGTATTTAGTGAACTGTAGGACTGACGACTAGTGCTGTAGGATTGATGCCCATTTTATTGTTATTTATTTATTTTGTTATTAATTGTAGGACATGGTGGACCCTGAAGATGGACCTGACTGGGACAGTGGATTTGATGGATAACAGATTAACAGTGTACTAGTGTTTTATATGGTTGTAGTTGTGAGAATCATATCCAATAAGGATTATGTTCTTGTTACAGTTTCTCATTCATAGATCAATGTACACTAGATTTATGTTCTTTTTGCAAAAGAAGGGTGAAAGGAGGAAATTATGGAATGAAGTGACAAAGTATACAGTTAATTACTCGTTAATATATGTTTACAGGTTGTAGCTCTGTCAGCTCTGTTGATATACTGTTCTGAAAAACACAAAATATATAAAAGGAACAAATGGTTCATATGAAATAGCACTGTGTTCTGTTATTTTTGAAGTTTTAATTAATCTTTTTTCGTAGGGTTTTTATCAATATCAGTGGGTGCTTAGTATGTTAAAGTTTTAGATTTTCATAGAGTGGTTGTGTAAGTGCCATTAATAAGTATGTTACATGTAGTTTATTCTTGAGAGGGAAAGAAAGATTATCAACCACGAGACCAGATTTATTTACCTAAAATAAGTAGCAAGTAATTATGTAGTCATGCTTACACTATACCCCCCACCCCACCCAAGCAATGGAATCGCCATTTTCATCTATTTTCTGTTGACAGTGACGTACACCCCTGTACACAGCACAATTGCGTGGGTACTACTAAACAGAGAACCCTAGAGAACTCTAAAGAACCCTAGAGAACCTTAATGATTTTTAATTATTTATTGTTTGTAAATGAAATATTTATGTTTTAAATAACCAGCATATCATACAAAAACAAAATAAAATTTAAAAAAAGAATATTATGCCAGGTGTTATGCTTATTTTCAATGGAATACTAATGTATGAAGACTTCATCATACTTTGTGTTATTTTAATTATTTTTTCAAATAATTTTACTCCAGAGTTAATAACTAAGAGTTCTATATAACTTAAAAAATAAAATTTAATGAAAAATATTGTGAAAAAGAATTGTAAAATTATGTGGTAAAATTATTATTTCAATTAACAACGTATTTGAAATTCAGTCGGGATCGGGATGACATAAAATATTACACTACTCTATGTTGTTACGTTTTCAACTTTTTTCGAGGGAAAACATCCATAAAAAATTCGTGTTATTGATTTTATAGATAGAATATGATTTATAAAGTAAAAATAAACTCAATTATGCATAAAATTTATTTGAATTGACCAAATAAACCTTGAGTTCTGTAGGGTTCTCTAGAGTTCTCTAGGGTTCTCTGTTTAGTAGGACCGCAATTGCGTGCTGAATAAAGATTTGTTTAGGTGCAACATCATTGACGGTTCATTATGCACTTGTGGAAAAATAGAAGACGCATATCATTACTTTTTTTTCTTGTGCGAAATACACTGTCCCAAGAAACGATTTGTTTAATGCTATTTTTAGAATGATTAATTTACGTATTGTAGACACTCTCGTACTGTTATGGGGAGATGATTCGTCCTTTTATATAACCTGATTGATTTCTACTTTTTAATCTATCAATCACTTTTTGTAGTCTTTTTGCAAACAAATGCAATTATTTTGTAATCACAATTAGTGAGACTTATTGATCGGTAATTTTCTAACTTATCTAGTTCACCTTTTTTTTATGTATGAGAGAGAGAACTGAACATTTCTGTGTTGAAGTCAGCTCTTCGTCGGTATATATTTCAGATATAGCTTCAAGTAGGAAATAACGAATGTTTTTCCAGAATATTTTATAAAACTCGATAGGCAACCCATCGAGACCTGGTGATTTGTTATTTTTCATTCCAAGTACTGCCTCTGAAAATTCTTGCATTGTGGGGAAATTCTCACAATCTTTTTTATCTTTCTCCGATAACACGGATACTATATTTGTTTGATTTAGATATGTTTCGATATTAGCAATTGGTACATCGTTAGAGGAGTATAAGTTTTCATAAAAAATGCGTAACTGGTTTAAAATATCATCAGTTTTTACAAAAATCGTCCCTGCATTCTTAATTTTATTAATGACATTTTTGGACTGATGTTTATTTTCAAGTCTTAAAAAGTAAGATGAATTTTTCTCTCCTTCGTCTATCCATTTAGCTCTTGATCTTATTTGCGCTCCTTTTGCTTTGTTTTCATATAGTTTATTGAGTTCATTTTCTAATTCCTTTTTATGTAACATATTGATATTTAAATAATGTTGATTTTCTATTTGTTCAAATTCACTTTCTATTTTTTGTGTTTTTTGTTTTATGTTTCTACTTTTTTCCTTGCAATAGCTAATGCTAAGGTTTTTCATTTTTAATTTAATTAATTCCCACTTAGTTTTCGGATTTTCTTCTATTTTAATATCATAAGGTAAGTTCGTGAAAAAAGAGTTTATCATTTCACAATAATTTGGTTCAAGAAGTACAGATGTATTTAGTTTCCAATATCCCTTTCCCCTACTGTTCGATGAGATTTCACATTTAAATATAATTGCAATATGATCACTCATCCTTGTATTTGAGACGGATGGTGGCCTACGTAAATAAACATTTTCAGGTTTGTAACAAAAATTTTGTGTTAAAAATACATAGTCTATTCTGCTTTTCGGAGTGTTACTTCCATCACACCAAGTGAAACCATTTTTTTCTGCTTTTAGAGTTTTCCATGCACAAATCAACAAGATCAAAATGAAAGTCTAAATATTTCAAAACGCTTGAACTTTTTATCAAAATTGAAACACCTTTACTGTGTGACGATGTGGAAAAACAGTGAAAAGATGTACCATTCCACCTTGAGTTGTATATACTCTCTTTCTACTACAAATTAAATGAGTTTCTTGCAAAAATGCGATGTCACAATTATTATTATTTAACCAATCATATAAAATTACTCTTTTTTTATCATTCAAACCTCGGCAATTCAAAGAAACAAATTTAACAGAAGCCATGAATAGTTATAAGTCTGACTGATAGGGTTATTATCTTAACTCATAAAGTTTTCAATACCTTGTTGTCTGGTTTTTCTGGATCTTTGGAGGGAAACTGAGCGTGGTTTCGTTTTTCGTACCTTGTCTGCAAGACGCTGAATTATCTTACCGAACTTGTTCTGCCCGGGCCAAGCATCTGGATCAGTGTGAGCTGTTTTCAAGGAATCCAAACCGGTACCCCAGTATAGATCGTAAACAGAATGGGAAAACACTGGGTCCGGTCTGGAAGATGTAAGCAGATCTTTCATATCTTTGAGTTGGTCGATCTTTGCGCACAAGATTTGCTCCATGACCTCGTCAGCATCATTTTTCCATTGCGGAGTACTGGTAAGGGTATTGCCGATTAATTTGCATTGTAGAGCTGACTTGGCTTCACGAATCCTTTCAGCAGCAACAAGGTTTCCGGTGCGGACGGCTTTGGTGAGTTGATATGCCTGCTCTGCGGAATTGAAATTTTCCCCAAATACTTTTAGATCACAGGGATAGAAATTTGATAGAACATTTTTTTCTCCTTGTATATTCACAACATTCTTTTGATTTTGAACAAATTTAGGACAAATTTCTGAGCCCGGTTCATGTCTTGGCGTTTTACAAGCAGCACATTTTTTTTCGTTCGGGCATGATGGTCGCTCTCCCAGCACTTTGTACAGGCTAGTGGGGGTTTCTCAGATTCTTACCCACGATGTAAAATTTTACATTTTAGCCCGGCACAGTAGCTAAATCGTAGGAGTGGTTTGCACATAAGTGGCTCGACATAGATGAAGCGATTGCCATTTAAAACATTTGTCATTTTATTATTAGAGGAGTTTCTGATTTTCTCGTACTTCAATGCACTTTTTGGACGTGCACCTAATTTTGTCAACATTTCTAGTATTGCACTGTCGTCCACTGACAATGGAACACCGCAAATGGTAACTTTTAGGGCCTCATCACTGGCGTTTTCAAGACCAGCGGAGTAAGGGTTTGTGTCATACACCTCATGTGAAGGTTTTTGAATTCAAAGCCATCAAGTAAAACAGAATCCCTGTTTTGCTTGTCATTAAAATATATTCTCCACAAATTTCTGTCAAGCTGAATGCATGCTAGACTTATTCTTGATATATTTGAATACTGTGAAAACACAAATACGGATGGAATTCTTTTATTTGCTGATTTTCAAAAAGCGTTTGACTCAATCGAGTGGATTTTTTTATTCAAAACATTGGAAAAATTCAACTTTGGAGAAAATTTTATCAAATGGATAAAAAATTTTATATACAAATATGCGATTCTCTATAAAAAATAATGGCTGGATTTCGAGAAAATGCAAAATGCAAAGAGGAATACGACAAGGATGTCCTGTTTCAGCTCTATTATTTTTATTTGCAATGGAATTTTTAAATGAAAACATAAATAGTTCAATGCTAGTTAGAGGTTTTAAGCATGAAAAGATGGAAAACGAAATAAAATGCTTACAACATGCAGATGATAGTACTTTTCCCTTTTAAGATAAAAACTCTCTGAAAAATGCCATTAAAATTATAGAAAAATTTGGAAATATATCAGGAACAAAACTTAATTTATCAAAAACGGAATGTATATTACTAGGAGAGCTAAAGAACATGTTTAGAGATAAAGCATTTATAGGAAATGTTAAGATAAATCTAAATTCTGTAAAATGTCTTGGAATTCATATTGGGCACAACAAAACAGAGTGCACTGAAAGAAATTGGCTATGTAAACTGAAAGAGTTTGAAAAAATCTTAGACTCTTGGAGAAATAGGAAATTGACGATTTTCGGAAAATGTCAGATAATCAACTCCCTTATTGTTTCTAAACTTTTGTATGTGGCAACTATACTTGAAAATCCAGATCAAGATATTACAAAGAAGGTAAACAAAATTATTTTCTCGTTTCTTTGGGGGAAAAAAGAAAGAATTAAACGTAAAACGCTTATCAGAAAAGTATCAGAAGGGGGAATAGGTATAAATGACTTTGAAACCAAAGTCAAAGCTTTAAAAGCATCATGGGTTGCAAAACTTGTTGAGGAAAATAAGGATTCAAATCAATTATTAAGTGCTTGTTTAGGAAGATGTAATTTAGATATCCCATATTTGTTGAAGACAAATATCACTAGAATGCAAGATCTCAATATCAAATATCTCCCACAATTTTATAAAGAGGTAATATGTGCATTTAATGAATGTAAACAAAATAATCAAGAAAAATTCCAGTTACAGAATATATGGTTTAACAAAAACATAACGTATAAAGGAAAACCACTTTTCCTTCCAAACTGGATCAAAAGTGGTTATAAATATGTGAATGATCTTTTTAATGAACACGGGTTTAAAACAATAAATGAAATCAAAGAAAATTTAATATGTT